CCTTCTTGTATGTGTTAATGACACACTGATTTATCATCAACCAGGAATAACTGTTAATGTGGTTTTACCCAGTGGTGAGATTACCAGAAGACAGTCACATATTTTTTTTGGCCATTCTCACAACCAAAGTCATACAATTTAATTTGGTAGACAAGAGGTAGGCATGTAATTTGTGGCCAGAACACTGACTATAGCTCACTATCCCACAGGCAGTGAACTTGAATGTCAGCCTGATGAGCTCTCTCTTGCTTTCTAGGCTAGAGAGCCTCAGGGATTACTGTTGAGAATGGCTTATCATTCTATTCATAGATTGTTATACTTTCATGTAAAGTACATGTTTTCACCGAAGTTTAAATTTTTATTGCTGAGGAGTACACAATGTGTTTGAGTTAATTTTAATTTCCCTTAATTTACCAAGGCTTCTCAACAAATGAGATACCTATTTTGAGCAAATTGATAGTTTTCTACCTATTGTGAAATGTTCTTTAAATAATGATTGGACAGTATTATTTAGTTAAAAGCAGCTACTTTACAAATTATAGTTTAGTTTTACTTTATGGTGCTTGGTTACTCACTTTAGTTTTATCTCGGAAACAATATAGACACGTGTCATCACATCTAAGATTTACACTGGGCTCTGGCAATGTACTGTGGTATTAAGAAGTTATGCATATAGAGCTAGGAGACACGCTTCTTAACCTCATTCTATGAGATACAGGTTTCACACTGTGAGTGTATCTTCCTATTTACTCTCCAAAGAAAAAGACCACAGAAAACACAAGTAAAAATAGTACCAATTGGGTCCCGAGTATCAGTAGCAGCAAGAGGTTTCCTGGTGGAGCTTTGTATCTCTATCCTCACTCAAAGTCTACAAGCCCTTGAACATTCCCTTTTATCTTGATAAAGGAGATTCCCCCCCCCCCAGGGTTCTTTAAGATACTAAGCACTTTTATTACCAAAATAAATTCTCTGGTCACTTGATCCCTTCCTACTGGTGTCTGAGGCCATTTCTAGAGATAAATGCTCTGAAGATAAAGATGATGAGAGGGTTTAGTAGGGAAGACCTTATTCTGAACCTTGATGAAGGTTTAGAGGGCTTTGGGGAGATCAACCCATCTCAAAAGGGATGAGTGCAGAGCCTTGGTGAGAGGCGATTTGGAAGGAAGATTGGTGAGGGCTCTGGGAATCCATTACCAGATAAGGTCTGCAGTCAAACGTGTGGCGAGGAGGCTGGCCGAGTGGGATTTGTGCATGAGGACATGTGTCGAAGTGAGGGGAAACAGGAGAGAAATTTCACATATCCTTCTCTGTGAGGGGATGACTTCATAAAGGAACAATAAATCTAACTGCATGCATATCTAGGACTATGTCTTGCTCCGTAGGACATTCTTGAGAGATTTTCAAGTATGGGTTGAAATTCAGGTCAGAGATTGCAACTACACCCTTATGTCTAAGTGCAGCTAGAAAGAAGTTCTTTTCTTACCATCTTTCTTACAATCACCCTTGGACGTTTTCTCTTTTACTTTGACAGTACTGAGGGCTGGGATTTTAGCTATTAACTTTACTTCTATCTCTCATAAAGTTTGATGGTTAGGAGTCCTCTATCTTAAGCCTTCTGCACCCAAACAAATGTAAGCCTACATCTGACTCAAGGAGCAATATTCCTGTTGCTTTCACAAAGTCTGTGTTGGTTTGTACATCTCAGGAGTGCTTGCAAAATCTCATTACAAGTTTAACTGATATTATAATTTTCAAGGGAATAAAATATGTGAAAAATAGAAAAAAGAAACCAAAATAATATTTTTCATATTATATAGGCAAAACAAACAGCTAACAGGGCTATTTTGCAGCAGGAATTTATGCAATAATTCAGTTTATGTTTAATTTCCTCTGAGAGACTATATTTTGTACATGAAAGATATGAAGAGTTTGGATTTTTCCCAAAAAATGTTCGATGGTCTCTTCTACATTTTAGGTAGTTCTCTAGGGAAAGAAGAGAGAACAGTGAAAACTAAAGATAATCCCCAATATGAATTCCAGGAAAGGAGACAGGCAAAACACACACCAACTAATACACGGACAACAGGTTTTAGAAAGAAAAGGCTATGAAAAATATACGAAGAGTTATTTTAAATTAGGGTTTCAGAATGATAGATTTAATTTGGGGAGGATTATAAACAAACAAGTAAGTTATAAATTGAGCCAGACAAAAATATGTTAGCAGCATCAGAATTCCAACTGTAAATAAAGTGCAAAGAGATAAAGGCAGAGATAAAGGTGTTGTTCAAGGTGCATAAAGGACAATTCGACTGGTTTACTTGGAAGAGGAGTGAGGTGGAAAATGCGATTGGAGACAAGTTATAAGTATTTCTGATCCAAGAAGGGTTATCCAGATTTTATTCCTGGTACAATAGGATTTATGCAGGGAATAAGATGCTAATTATTCACCCTTTGTAGTAACATTTTCAGTTGTATGCATTTGCATTTCAATTTTACAAGGCCCGAAAGCTTCTATATTATAGAACTTCTAGCATAGAAATAACTGTACAAACTCAGGTATATTGAAATATTCAGGTAAGAAAGTGAAATGGGCCCTATTGCTTGCCAGTGTGAGCTTGTACTTCACTGTATAATTGTTGACTCAATGAGAGATCGTTCTCCTCTGCCAGGCCAAGCCACACCACAGCACAGGGACAAGTCAAGCAGAACATTCTTTTACTGAATGATGAATTGTTGACAAACTCTTCACACACATACACCTGAGTTTTAAAATGGATATTTTAAACACCATAACATACATGAGACTATGGAATAAAATACACTTTGTACTGTGAGGGTCAGAAACTATAAAATACCTCAGGATTTCCATTTGATTTCACTTCACTTAGATGGACTCTAGTACAGTTCCCATCAAAATACACTCTGCTTTTTGACTAAATAATGTTTCTTTGGGGCACTGGGTGGGAGTTGACATCTGACAACATGAATGTGAAGAATGAGGATTTTGGTTTCAAAGCTAAGCTGTGTGAAGAGACTGCCAGGTCTGTTTTTACAGGTTCCTTTGATGAGGGTGTGTGTGCTCCCAGACTGCTGACAGAACAGCTACATGACTTCTGAGTAGGAAGGGTGGTCTATGTCCAGTTCTCTAAGTTCTCACAGCTCAGTTAGGGAGAGCAGAGGGGAGTCAATCCCTGGAAGACTTCTCTGCCTGACTTCCTAAGAACCTTGAGTTTAAAACATTAAAGAAAGAAAGTGACTATTTCTTTTAAACTTTCACTTTATTCTTAGCAATGAACTCCAGTGAAATACTAAAGATAGAAAGTACACAATAAATAATATTTTGTAAATAATCTTTCCTAAACTTCACCTTATAATTAGAGGTGGTGTGTGTGTGTGTGTGTGTGTGTGTGTGTGTGTGTGTGTGTGTGTGTGTGTGTGAATTTTAGTTACTCTTCTCACTGCTTTACCTGACAGAAACAACCATTAAAAGTATTTATTTTGGGTTTTGGTTGAAAATGTAATTGATTTTGTATCAGGGAGGGCAGAGGGATGGTTCTCAAGTACTATTGCATATAAAGTCAGGAGGCAGAAAGGTAAACACTGGTGCTCAGTTGCTTTCTTCTTTTGCCCTTTATATTCAGTCTAGAAGCCCAGGTCATGGAATAGTGCCACCAATGTTCAGGATGGATCTTCCTACCTTGGGTAAACCTCTCTGGAAACATTCTCACAGTCACATTTCATAAAGGCATGTCTCCTGAGTAATTATAAGTCTTATCAAGCCAACAGTGAAGATTAACCGCCACAAGTCTACCTCTTGCCAACTTGACACCAAAACATACACACACCCTTTTAAGTTATGGCATCCCATTACTGACCCCCAAAGTCCCATGATCATCTCAGAGTAAAAAGTGCATTGATTTACCTACAAAACTCGACATAGTTTTAACAGTTTCAACACTATTCGAAAAACAAAAGTCACTCTAAGAGTCAAGAAAAACTCTTGTAAAATGACAAAGTCACACACTTCCAATGTTTAATGACACAGAGCAAGCATTCCCATTATCCGAGGCAGGGCTGGGAAATAGCAAAGAAATAATTCACCAAACAAAACAGAAAGCCAGCAGGGCAAGAAGCAGTGGTGGCACACGCCTTTAATCCCAGCACTCAGGATGCAGAGGCAGGCCAATCTCTGTGAGTTTGAGGCCAGTCTGGCCTACAGAGCTAGTTCCATGACAGGCTCCAAAGCTAGAGAGAACCCCGGTCTTGAAAAACAAACAAACAAAAAACAAAAAGAGGAAGAAAGAAAGAAAGAAACAAAGAAAGAAAGAAAGAAAGGAAGGAAGGAAGAAGGAAGAAAGAAGGAAAGAAAGAAAGAAAGGAAGGAAGAAAAGAAAAGAAAACATTGTAGCTCCATATTTAGTGCTGGGGACTTGTAGCCTGTATCATCTGGCCTCCAGCAAGCTTAAGCAACCCTGCCTCTTTAGTTCTAGAACCTGCCACAAACACAGCCTCTCTCTTGGCTTGTCTTAACTCTATGCTTTCAGTTTTACTGCTTCAAAAATTCAATGATCCAATAAAAACCTTGTGATAGGACTTCATTGCCTAAATTTCTTTCAGATATTGTCTTCCACACTTCTACCAGAATGGCCCCTTGAACTCTGCTTACATTATGCTAGGGTTCCTCTGGCCTCCATTTTAAAACTCTTCCATATTACTTGTACAAGTTCTACAAACCACATGATAAGGCAGTCAGAGCAACTGACTTGAGCCCTACTCACTAAGAAGTTTCTGCTTTTCTGACTGCTGTGACCAAACAGCTGAGAAAAGCAACTTAAAGAAATGTCAACTTTGACTCATGACTTTAGGTACAGCTCCCACAAAACAGGGAAGTTACTGCAGCATGAGAATGAGGTAGCACGTCACATGGCATCAGTAGTTAGGAAGCAGAGGGAGATGGATCCTGCTACTCAGATTGCTTTTTCTCCTCTTCCTTTTATTAGGTCTATGGCACCAGCACGTGGAATGGTACTTCTTGCATTCAAGGTAAGTCTTCCCTTCTCTACTAATCTTCTCCAGAAATATCTTCAGACAATCACGGGGGTATATGTTCTAGGCAATTCAAGCCAACAAAGGTCAACTCTTACAATTATATGGTCAATTTCCATGGATATCTTTTGTTAAATTACCGTATATATTGAATTAACAAACACCGAGTCATTTGATTATTCAGACAAATGTTGGGCTAGGGTCTCATAAGGCTTAGTCATAAAATTTATCAGTCACTCAGTGCATAATCTTGTTTTGTGTTTGTATACCTCATGCAAAATGTGCTGTTGATTCGAGAATAGTGAACCCATAATCAGTAGTGTTGAAACTCCTGTTTGAATGAAGATGCTCTGATACATGTATCTACCTCTGTTTGCTGCAGGATAGCCTTTTTCTCCACTTACGACCCACAGATAATATTTTGTCACTAGTCCTGGGTTCCAATTTAAATAGTGAAATCATTTGGAGCCCCCCAATGCAAAAGCAAACCAACAAAAACATAATCACAAGACAAAACAGAAAGATAAGAAAAAAAATCAACAACAGCAAATAACCTCTGAAAGAGAGCTGCTTACATTAAGAGCTAAAACAAGAATAACAAATGGTAATTTGCAGACCTCACTGGCAGCACAACTATGAAGGGATTTCATTTTTTACTACCTGCATCCCTGCAAATGAGCACCAAGTGCCCTTGAGGTTGGTTTTGGAGTTAAAAGTTTAGTGAGTAGATGAATTAAAATATAGAGTATCTGAATAATGAGGATGGAAAGCACTTAAAATATACACATATTTGTATCCAGTTAACCCATTAATGGCAGCAGGAAAAAAACCTTATCATTTTCAAAGAGTAGTAACGCTAATGATGGTGTACACACATTCTGAGGTGAGTTTTTAATCTTTAATTGGAAAGTGGCATGCTACTCTCCTTAGTACATGTGGAGATTGTCAAGTGATTCATGAAGGGAAATCTACACAATGTTTGTTCTCATCAACAAATACTCAGAAAATTCGACCTTTCTCTTTTTTTTTTTTCTGGGAGACATTCAGAAATGTCTCAAATACATTTTATGGCAGAAAATAGGAACATACTGATTTTTGAATCTTCAGACACAGATGTTGCTCGAACTGTAACAAATTGAAGAAAACTTGTTTGTTTTACTTGGTGGTTATTTCACCTCTTGAAACATGAATATGACTTCATTCTCCATAAATCAATAAATCTTGAGTTGGTAATTTCTTTGTTTTGTAGAAAGGAAATTACATCATAATAGTAGTCTTGGAATAAATAAGATCAGCTCATTCCCTAATGTCAGCATTGAAACCACAAATTGAATGTCAAGACCCTAAATTGTTATTTTCATTTAATTTTAAAAGTATGGAAAAAATTCAAAATGATTCAAACCAAAAAGAAAAAAATCTGAATCTAGAAAAATATATATATTTAGTTATTCTTTCTTTCTCTCTTCTTTTTCTTTTTTCTTTTTTTTTAAATCAGGACAACACATGAGAAAATCCTTAGGAAGAAAGAAGTTGGCAAAAACGTGATTTTTGACTTGCTAACGAGTGGGGTTCAGCTAGCACAATGTTAATACAGCTTTTCTGACCTAAAGCTTCCTAAGTCTCCATTACAAAACACCTATATTCTTTTGATTTTGCAGAATATACCTTTCGGGATTTTCTTGGGAACAGAAAGGAGTAGCAGAAAATCCTAGAGCCAATAACAATGACACTGGAATTGATGCAATTTAACACAGAAGCAGGATAGTTTAGATAATCTAAAATGTTTTTCCAATGATAAATTCCTAAAATGTTTAAACTCTGCTTATACAAATACATGTACATGTTTGTACTGTGCTGGTGAACTCATACATTATTTTTTTCCAGAAAATATACTTAGAAACAAAGTTTTATTCAAAGTAATATTTTACATGAAGACAATGTCAAACAATTATTTTTATCTTTTTAGCTTAATTTTTAATTTTATAAAATTTATTTTAAAAATCTTGCAAATAATGCCACACACCAAAATGAATCAAATCAAATTCTGTCCAACTCTGTGAACTATAATTTAGAATAGGCATCTGGAACAAAGGTGTGGAGCTTCACAGTAAATTTTATACTTTCTGTGTCAAACATATTTTGTGAACTTATCCAACACCAAAACCAAAATAATCTGTGATGTAAAAACAATTAGATTGATATATTGCCTGTCAAATCCCATAAACTTAGCTTTAGAAATATAGTAGACTCTTTATTCTTGAAATGTATAAAAAAAACTTTAATCAGTTTTAAAAAGTCATATTTCTAATACACATCACTGGTGTTTTACCATATAATATACCTATTATTGAAATATGGCCAAGACACACAGGGGTGGGCCTAGGCCCTATCCCAAAGGATATGATAGACTCTGATGACCCCCTATGGAAGGCCTCACCATCCCTGGTGAGCAGAAAGGATATGTGATAGGTAGGGTTTTAGTTGGGGGCGGGGTGGTAGGGGAGGAGGGGAGGGAGAGGGAACTGGGATTGACATGTAAAACAATCTTGTTTCTAATTCAAATATTTCATATGAAGTTAAAAAATTAAGAGTATTTGTTTTATTTTTTAGATGTTCAAAGAATTCAATTTGGAACTTAAATTTCACAAATTTTATTTAAACATGAGTGAAAATCATACTTTAGGAAGCTATGTAAAGATATTTTATATAGTTATGAACTTCTGCTATGTTTATCATTATGCCCTTAAAAATATATCACTATTTCTTTGGTGTGTTTCAATCTTTCTTTTACAGAAGTTGTAAAACTATGTTTGCATGCCAGACAACATCTGTCAATAAGTATTTCATTATGAATATTATAGCCATAAAATTTCTTGAGAATATAAATGTGTACTATCTTTTGTTAAACTCATTGTTGCAGAAAAATTATTTAAAATAAGAAAATGTTATCAAACAGTGAAATAGTTTTAGATTTACATCACACAGTAAATGAAGCAACATGGTCAAAACATTTCAACTACTCAAAAGTTTATGGAAAACTAGGCTTGTAATTTTTTGCATACAGTTAGGTATACTTGCCCTGTAATTATCCCTGTAATTATCCCACTGACATCTGCAATAGTAGCCTGAGGAATTCATGCATACCAAAAATTATCCTGCAAAGCATGTCACACCTGATTGACACATCATGTTGACTTCTTTGCCATCATAGCCTGAGGTGAGTAGTGAACAGTAACTCCATATTCCTACCCAATGCATTAACTTTTTGTGTCAGTTATCTTGAAAGCTGCCCTTGAAAGATAGCTGTTACTTACATAAGAAAATAGGTGATAAAAGGATGGTGAACAGAGGTAGTCTTCAAGAAACCTGTTTATTCCATGTGTGTTGTATACACAAGAGAGACCTCAAGGAAGTCAGTAGGATCTGTGTTCCCAGTAAAGCTACCTCTAATGCAATTGCTAATATAGTTTTGGTTTTCTTCAATTATTAGATGCACACAGACACACAGTATAGTTGTTTGCCTGTATGTATGTCTGTATACCACTAGCATACCTAGTTCCCAAGGAGACCAGAAGAGCATGCTAGATCCCTGTGAACTGAATCTGTGGACAGTTATGAGTTGTCAATTGGGTGCTGGATATTGAACCTGGGTTCTCTGGAAGATCATCCAGTACTCTTAACCTCAAAGTCATATATTTAGAGTTTTCTTTTTTATTTGAGCTAGGATGTTTCTAGGTTTTTAAAGTTACCAGAAATTAAATTATTTAAACAAATATCCACAACTGGTATTCAGTACAGCAGAGGAAGACTTTGGAAAGATCATACCAATTTCTTCTTTCTTTTCAGAAACAATGTGACACACTTCATACTAAATTAATAGTAAAAGAAATTATAGTTGCTACTTTTCTTTTTGTTTATTTTTGAAATTGTAATATGATTACAACATTTCTCCATTCCCTTTCTTCCCTTCAAACCCTCCCATATACCTCCCCCTGCTCTCCTTCAAATCCATGGCCTCTTTTTACATTAATTGTTACTGCATGAATCTATATAGTGTATGCACATATATATCCTTATTATAACATGTTGAATCCATATAATGTTACTTGTATATATGTTTTCACGACTGATGGTTTTGCACTGAACAACCAATGGTATGCTCCTCCCTGGGGAGGATCACTTCTATCACTCCCAGCTTCCCACAGTTGCCTTTAGTTCTTTATTCAGAGTTGAGGGCCTCATGGGCTCCCCGATCCCATCCAGTTTGGCATGCTCATTGGTTTTCTGTGTTAATCAACAGCAGTTCTCTAATTATACTTAAGATGCAATGAACAAGAAGGACACCATGCCTAGCACTGGAATCTAGCCAACTACTCAGTGCTAGTAAAATCATAGTTATTGGAGGAGACTCTTCAACCACTGATTTACTAAACCAGAATAATTCCTAACAATAATCTATAAACATTTGCCCTTATACCCAGCTAACTTCAGTCTTCACTAGACATCAAGGAAATGTCTCTTTGCAATAGACAGAGACCATTGCAGGAAACCACAATCAATCAAAATGCATAGCTGTGGAGCCCAGTCCAAAAGGCTGCATCTGTAAAACACTCCTACACTTAAGACTCAGGGAACATTACAGATAAGGGGTAGAAATATTTAAGATACAGAAGATCAAGGACTTTGCTGTGAGATTGTGTCTTCTACTAACAACATAAGATGTACCCATAAAGTCCACTAACATGACTGTTCAAAATCTACTTCTTTTCAAATTCTTTTTCTCTTAAAGAATGTTTATTATTTTCAGAAAAGACATTAAATTTTAGTACAATAAGTGTAAATTAAAGAAATTGAAAATGTGACTTCATTTTTAACAAAATGCATTTAATATTTTTGAGAAAATATACAATTTTATAAGACCAAAAATGCCTGGAAGATGTCTTAAATTGTTCCATAGATCGTGTATCTAATTTTCTAAACAAACAGGTAGTAATTTT